GTGTTTGGATGACTCACGGGGGGTACATTGGTGGGCTCCATGGTAACCCATCTGCTTCTCTTCTCCCATTGGTCCCTCTTTGGGAACAAGCCCTATCTATTTCATATCTAGAGACTGGAATGGAGACCTCCCTGGCTCCATTGCCCTCCTCACAGTTAATTATTCTTCAAAGCCTTTTGATTCCAGTTTGTACACAGTTTTCCTTTGCCTCCCCATGCCTACTGCCCTCCCCATTACCCTATCTGCCTCTGGTTCACCATCACAGACGCCCCTCCCCCATCACTTGGGCTCATTTGCAGCTAGAAGATCTGCTACACAGCAAATTCCGCCACTGTTTTGTGAGATCACAAGGGCTTCCTGTCCAGCTGCATTTGCTTCAGGCTCTGGCCCTTAAGACATCACCTGTCCTGTGCTTGCTCTTGGCTCACTCTCCTCTGCTATGCCCACAGGAACTCCTTATGCAGGGGGTCTAACCTGCTCTCTCCAAGATTCACCTCCTGGTCCTCTCCTCCCTCTGATATGCTTCACAGGAACTCCCTGTACAGGGGGGTCTAACCTGCTCTCTCCAGGATTCACCTCCTGGTCCTCTCCTCCCTCTGCTATGCTCACAGGAACTCCCTGTACAGGGGGGTCTAACCTGCTCTTCCAGGATTCACCTCCTGGTCCTCCTCTCCCTCTGCCCCACATTCCTCAGGAAGCTATCATTGTACTGGGGTGAATCAGGTTCTCCTTTGTGGTCCCTCTGCTTTTAGCCCCCCCTGGATTGTGGCCTTTACCTGCCACCGAACAGTGTCTGCCTAATCTATAGCAAGTGCCAGCAATATTTGCTGAATGGTTATTTGCCCATGAAAGAAATCTGTGTTTTCTGTGATTGGCCAATTAGAGGGGGGTTCTGGCTATGCAGTCTAAGCTGGTTTCAAATGTTTATCCTGCTGCCCCCCCCCACTGCTGTGGTTACAGATGTATGACACATGCCCAGCTAAAACAGATGCTTCTAAAAAATCTGTCAACATATATGTATGTAACACTTTGTGGACTCTGAACCATAGTTTCAGTCGGCCATGGATGAGAAAGTTCTGAGCAAATGTACATCTCTGCTGAGCACATACAGATTCCTATCATTGCCTAAGCCGTAGGACATAACAAGCATTTCTGTAGCACTAGGCATTATAAGTAGCCTGAGATGGTTTAAAAGGTAGTGGTGTGTGTGTGTACATGTGTATACATATGTGTGTGTGCATATGTGTGTACATGTTTGCATTGTGTGCACATGCATGTGCGCGCCTGTGTGTGAGTGTGTGTGTGTGTAGGTTAGATGCAAATACTATGACCTATTTATGGGCCTTGGAAGCCCATGTGCTTTGGGTACCTGGGGACAAGTATTTCTGGAGGATTTACTGGTGTCAAGTCCTGTGTGAGGATCCTGAACAGGTGCAACATTTTTGCTCTCAGAGACAGGATGGATCACCAGTAGCACCTCTGGCCACACCCTAACTCAGGGCAGAGTGGGCGCCCACTCTGTGTTGGTAGAATTAATGCCTGGAGCTTCTCTGTTGAGTGACACTCAACCCTCCGCAGGTTCCTTTCTGCCAATTGGGTTTTTACTCTCTAGTTTTAAAACAGCTTCATTTGGGACTTCGCTATTCAAGTTAACGGGAAGAGAGCCAGCCTCAGAGAGAGGCATGCTCGTGTTCATTGATTAGCTGTGGCAGGTGCTTTGGCATTTGAGGATACTTTTTCTTTCGTCTCCTCTGTGTTTATGATGCAGGATGGTGACCCACTTTGTCACAGGGAACTGTGAAGCATGATCGACAGATATTGGAGGTCAGAAAAGCAAAACAGCCAGCTGCTGGCTCTTGGCAACCATTTGTAGCATGATTAATAAAAACTGAAAGACAGATATTGAGCATAGCAGCCTCTAGAGAACTCTTACCTCTTAGAGAACTGAGCCTCAGAAATGTGACTTGTTCAAGGTGTCACAGGCAAAGGAACAGCTTGGACTTCAGTGATTCTGTTTTATTTTCCATTACTGGGGATGGAGCCTGTACCTTGCATACAGTAGGCAGATCCTCTACCACAGAGCTGATCTGCCTGAGTACTGTTAGTGTGGCGTTGTGGGAAGCCAGTGCTGCTGCTGTCTACCGCCCCCTGAAGGCTGTCCCAGGATGGCATGGTCAGGAGCATCCGGTACTCTGAGAGCTGATGGTGGGGGACTTAAATAGCAAGACTTTACCTGCAGATAGACAGAGTGACACCTTGGTTAAGCATGCTCACTTTTTACTGAAGTGGATGTGGGGGTGTGTCCTAATTTCTGTAGCACCTCTCTGTGTAATCCAGAGCAATTTTTCCTTCTTGAAGTTCAGCGCATCTCTGTACAATGGGGTGATAAGACCTGTCGGAGGTTGTGAAGGTCTAAAGGCTTAGCATGGCATCTTGCATACATAAGTGCTTATACAGTAAAATACAGTGACATAGGGGACTTAGAGGCTTTTTTTTGCGCCATCTGTGCCCCCCTTAGATGAATGTAGGAGCCGAAGAGGAGAACTTCTGTTTTATCTTCAATAGACTAAGTCTGAGGTCTCTAGAGACCCCACACCACCTTGGCCAGATGAGACAAGGTCACTGACGTTAAGCCAACAGGTTTCTAGATTTGGGAGAACCCTTTGGGGCCATCCAGTACAGGAGAGGAGCCAGGAGCCAGAAGGAGAAGCAGTTGATGAAGGCGACCTGGAGTGTAGTATCTGCTCTTGGCGTTCAGTGGGGGACACTGTCATCCTTTAGTGCATAGAGATTGCCCTCTCCTACTCTTTAGGTTGGCTAAGTGGATAGGAGGCTGTGATGTCACAGAGCTGAGAACCGGGAAATGGGGGTAACGGGTTCTGGACAGGTCCACAGGTCTGGGAGGAGGGGGCTGCTGATGACCTATGCAGGGGTTTGTCCCACTGCCCACTATGTGTTAGGTTGTTAGAAGAGATGTCTCTTGTCCTTGGATTACTGGGCCAGCTAGGATGTGTTCTTCTGAGACAGCTGGACCTGTCTACACAGTCTACCTGCATAGACGCAGGTGTAGGTCCCAGCTACTGTCCCACCTCCTCAGTGTCCTGTGTGAGACCACTTGGACACCTTCCATCTTCATGGCTTCCGCCATTGTCCTAGGTCAGACATCTTTCTTTCCATAACACAAAGACATATCGTCCCAGCTGAGCCAGTCAGAGCACAGGGCACTCAAGAAGAGATGGCAGGGAAGGGGATGGAGTTCAGGTTCAGTATTGCCGTGTTCCACGCACTCAGTATTACGTAGTCACGCCAGAGACAAGGAGAGTGGGGCGCAGCGTCAGCGGTGAGCATTTCAGCGGGTCAGGCACTGCCCCCGTCTCGTGTTCTAGCTAAGGTCTTCTTCCACCCTGGAGGGAAAGTCTGTGTTGCCTGCCGCCACCACTTCAATTCTGTCCTGGCCTCTGTGCTGTCAGGAACAAGATCGGGACTGGGCGGAAGATTGTCTACACTGACAGGACTAGGCCCCTCGCACACCTGGGTTTAACTTCATCACCCTGTCTGTTTAATCTACAGTGTAAAATGCCCCCAGGTTCCAGGAAATGGAGGAAAGGCGGCCTTGGTTGGAGGCTGTTTTGCCCACCATACACTTTAAATGCTTGTATCAGGAAATGAAAAGAATGAAATAAATTCCTAGTTCAAGAGTCAAGATAAAGCACATGACTATTGAGATGGCTCAGTAGCTAAAAATCCTGCCAGGCCTGATGACCTGAGTTCAGTCCCTGGAACTCACATTATGAAAAGATATAACCAATTCTTGCAAGCTATCCTCTGATCGCCTTGCACAACCTGTCCTGTCCCCTCTCAATAAACAAAGAAATGAAAATCAAAGTAATGAAATCAAAGTAATGAAAATCAAGATAGATACAGTCAAGTAATAAAGACTGCCTGTGACTGAACCCAGAAATCACACAAGAGAACAAAGTAACAAAACCAAGCTAATAAATCTTTTGGAAAAAAAGTGGAAAAATTTGTTTAGCAAGAACTGAATCTAACAAGTGACTTTGTTTTTATTTCTGTAGTATTAGGATCAAGTTCAGGCCTTCTGCATGCTGGGCAAGCGGCCTGTCAGTGAGCTCCACACTAAACCCCTTCAGCAAGCAATCTATATTTTCACTCATGTGGTGCCCTGTGTGCCCTGCACCTCCTGATACCACCCACTAGGGAGGACACAATACTCCTCTTGGGCCATTCCCTCCCCAAATGGGAACCTTGGCTCTGATCTAGTGAAAATATCAGAAAAATCTAAGCGGAGCACTTGAAATAGGTGAAATTCGTGATGACTGTGTGAATCCATGGTCTTGGGTGGGAGAGCTCTGAGGCATTTTGGGTAATTGATGGCATTTGAATAGGGTGCTCTTAGTGTGTGAGCAGCGTTTGTTCTGGGCCCTGCTGGAGTTAAAGGAGGATACCCTTTCTATAAGAATTGCTCATGAAGGTTTAGGATTGGGGCAGGATTCTCACTCTCAGATCATTCAGGAAAAAAAATAAGATAAAAATTATAAAATAAACGGAGAGATGTGTAAGACACTGATGAATCTGAAAGAGTTTTTCTTTTTTATCTACTTTTTCTATTAAGACAACTTTTCTATATATTTGAAATATTTTTAAAAGCTATTCACAAAGTCAAGTTTTTTTATAGGTTATTTAGAAGTGACAATATAAGAAGAGATAAGATATTTATAAGGTGTGGGGGAGGGACAAAGAGGAGGGACACGTCCTCTGATGCAATCAAGGACTTTAATGCAGGCAGCCCCTCCCTTCCCTGGCTGTGTCAGGAGCTGCCGTGACTCTTGTTGGCACAGGGATGGCTCAGACCTCTTCCCTCCTGCGGTGGAGTTTCTGAATCAGTCTTCATGAATCCTGTCCACTGCCTTCTTTATCCTCATGCAAACCCTCCAGCAGCTGCACAGCTCAGAGCCCATGTGATACCGCCACTAGAACCCTCAGGGTCTCCCGATGAGGCACGGCCGGAAGGCCCAGTGTTCCTGGCAGTAGCGGTTTAGATTTTTTTTAGGGTATCCTGTTTGTATGTTGTTTGCAGTCAGCTCTGAAAGAAGGAAAGCATGCTGGTGGGTGAAGAGCCTTGAACTGATCCAGATGGGTTGCTGGGACTGCATCCCTCTGGGGCGGACTGCTGTGACTGTATCCCTCTGGGGCAGACTGCTGGGACTGTATCCCTCTGGGGCGGACTGCTGGGACTGTATCCCTCTGGGGCGGACTGCTGTGACTGTATCCCTCTGGGACAGACTGCTAGGACTGTATCCCTCTGGGGCGGACTGCTGTGACTGTATCCCTCTGGGGCGGACTGCTGGGACTGTATCCCTCTGGGGCGGACTGCTGGGACTGTATCCCTCTGGGGCGGACTGCTGTGACTGTATCCCTCTGGGGCGGACTGCTGGGACTGTATCCCTCTGGGGCGGACTGCTGTGACTGTATCCCTCTGGGGCGGACTGCTGTGACTGTATCCCTCTGGGGCGGACTGCTGTGACTGTATCCCTCTGGGGCGGACTGCTGGGACTGTATCCCTCTGGGGCGGACTGCTGGGACTGTATCCCTCTGGGGCAGACTGTATCCCTCTGGGATGGGTTGGCTGTATCCCTCTGGGACTGATTGCTGTGACTGTATCTCTCTGGGACGGGTTCCCAGATTCCATGAGCTCTCTGGGAACCCAGGCACAACCCAGCTTAGTTAGTCGGGCATGGTATTGTTTTGCATGGTGGAGTCACAACAGAAAGTCTTGCAAAGCACAAGTCGTAGGAAACAGGGATCTTGGACATGGATGGTGTTTCCTGGTATAAAGTCCCTTTCCCAGTGTGGATCTCAGCCTACTCGGGCATGGAATATCAGAAATGGAGAGACTGGTGAGCCAGTGAGACCCTCAGCTCCTCACTCTTCATTCAAATAGAACAGGTAGGCTATTGTAGGAAAATTTACCCTTCAATGGGCTCCTGTTTGCAACAAGGGCTTGAGTGACTGGTGGGTTCCACAGTGGGGATATGTAAGTGATCCTTATCTCTCTGTGGTCCCTGGGGGATAGCGAACTTTGGGAGGCCATCTGAGCACAGGATAAATTTCCTTCAACACGACTGCCTTTCTTCTTCATGGTTTGTGCTACTGAACTAGGTGGGGCATTAGTTCTTCTTTGACCCAAAGACATATCATCCCACCTGAGCTGTGCTCAGCTCATTAGCATTTTCAGATATTACTCATTTGACTGGTACCTGGCTGGGTTTGGGGAAATATCAGAAAACAAACCCAAGGCAGACCTACCAGCCTGGCGCTCAGTGTGTAAAGATTAAGCAGTCTCACAGAAAATGCACATTCCAGACCATACTGTGGTGCCCAGAAGAGAGAGAGAGAGAGAGAGAGAGAGAGAGAGAGAGAGAGAGAGAGGTGTGTGTGGAGCATCCTTTCCTCCCAGAGCCTCTCCTTCAAATACAGCATCTAGCATGGAAAATAATGAGTTAGGCCAGGTGCTGTAGGTTGCACAGCGCCCTCTGCAGTGTGGACAGCTAACTCACATACCCGTTGGGTCTGGCCATCAGGACGGAGCCCCCCTTCCCAGAGGCCAGTGTCTGGGACTCACCTTCAAACTCGCTGCTGCTGGAAGAGAATCTCTTCTCTTGACCAGTGGGGAACTGGGTATTAGTGTACTTGCAGTTTGGTTTGTTTAACTCATTCTTCTGAGTCTGCGAACCTGACAATGAGAATTCCATGGGTGTCACGTGGGAAGGCTTGGCCAATCACAGAAGTGAGGGCACTAAGCCGGTAGAAGCAGCACACAGGGGAATGAGGGATACTATGGGATGGGGAGAGTTTGAAACTTCCTCCTTTAAGCAGGTGCTGAATTTAGAAATACATATTTTAAAGGATCAATGTTTTTCTATTTTTTTATGTTTTTCTATTTTTAAATGCAATGCATATCCATTACAAAAGGAAAAATGATCCAACTCTTCTCCTCCCAGATATTATTTTTACCTAAGCATATTTTAACATAGTTCATCAGATTGCGTGTTCCATGTATGTGATTCATTTTCTTCATATAAACTTTTTTCCCATGTCACTACATTAAAAAGTAGTAAATGGATGGTATTTTCTTTTATGGATAATTCAAGATTTATTTATCCAATGGACTATTTTGTGTTTAGACTTTTTTTTTCTAATTTTACTACTGCAGAGACAGGCATGGATTGTATTTAAGCCTTTATGTACGTCTAGAATAATGACAAAAAACTTCAGAGACAGGCGAAGGTCTCTGGAGCAGGGGTAACAGTTTAGACACTGGATGTGTAACTCAACAAATCACCTCTGCTCATACCTGCAACAAAATAACATGCTTTGCTTTGGATAGTAGGGTCCACCTGGAGCTGCAGTGTAGACAGGGAAATGCAGGTGGGGATCCACCTAGAGCTGCAGTGTAGACAGGGAAATGCAGGTGAGGATCCACTAGAGCTGCAGTGTAGACAGGGAAATGCAGGTGGGGATCCACTAGAGCTGCAGTGTAGACGGGGAAATGTAGGTGAGGATCCACTAGAGCTGCAGTGTAGACAGGGAAATGCAGGTGGAAATCCACTAGAGCTGCAGTGTAGACGGGGAAATGCAGGTGGGGATCCACTAGAGCTGCAGTGTAGACGGGGAATGCAAGTGGGGGATCCACTAGAGCTGCAGTGTAGACAGGGAAATGCAGGTGAGGATCCACTAGAGCTGCAGTGTAGACGGGAAATGCAGGTGGGGATCCACCTAGAGCTGCAGTGTAGACGGGGAATGCAAGTGGGGGATCCACCTAGAGCTGCAGTGTAGACGGGAAATGCAGGTGGGGATCCACTAGAGCTGCAGTGTAGACGGGGAAATGCAGGTGGGGATCCACTAGAGCTGCAGTGTAGATGGGAAATGCAGGTGGGGATCCACCTAGAGCTGCAGTGTAGACGGGGAATGCAAGTGGGGGATCCACCTAGAGCTGCAGTGTAGACGGGAAATGCAGGTGGGGATCCACTAGAGCTGCAGTGTAGACGGGGAATGCAGGTGGGGGATCCACTAGAGCTGAACACAGAGGTGTGGGTGTACTGGTGAATGGTAGATCGCACTTCACAGGCATTATCAGGGGAAAGGGAATCTGTATTTTTAATATTTTGCTCTTCAGCCAGGCAGTGGTGGTGCGTGCCTTTAATCCCAGCACTCGGGAGATAGAGGCAGAAGCAGGCAGAACTGTGTGAGTTCGAGGCCAGCCTGGTCTACAGGTTTCAGTTCCAGGATTTTTTCCTGCTCTTTGACCAGTTTCATCTGTCAGTGGGACGGTGGCAGATTTCCACCAGCACTCTGTCCTGCTGTGTCCCCATGAGTCTTAGCTTTGCCTGATCTTGATAATAATGCTCTTTCTCTTTCTCTCTCTCTGAAATTGCTGATTTTGACTCCTGTCTTTTCTGTCCTGGGCCATCAAGAAGGCTGTGATACAAACTGGAGGCTGGGATGCCTTCAGTGTCCCAAGGGGTCTCAGATTGCTGAGGGGGAAGACAGGAAGGCGTGGTGATGTGGCCTGAACTTTGGCCATTGGAGCTCCAAGGCCTTGCCGGAGTCTTTCTGAACTTACCCGTCTTCGTTGCTTCTCCACCTGTTTTGTGCTAGGCACCTATGGACCTTGTTTTATTCCACATACCCATGATTCCCCAAGTGTATTATTAATATTCCTGTTTTACACAACAGGCTAGCTGACTCTAACAGTAACTTGCTCAACCTCTGTGGCAGAACTGAAACTCAAAGGGGCGTGTTAGCTTTGAAGGCAGGGGGCCTTAACTATTGCCTTAGAGTCTTTAGCCTTGTTCCTTAAATTGCAAAGTACATCCAGATTTACCTGGAGACCATACTAAAACAGTTCTAACTCAGTAGGGTTTAACGGGGTCTGGAGATGCACTTTTTAAATTTCGAGAGTCTCATATCTCCTGAGCCGACCTCCAGCTCACTAAGTAGTAGAGGGTGGCCTCGAAACTCTCGTCTCCCCAAATCTACCTTGCCAAGTTCTGGAGGGACCAGATGTGTACCACCACACTCTTTTTGTTTTATGTGTGGGGCTAGGATTGGACCTAAGCCTTAAGGAATTCCAAGTTAACTGAGTTAACATCCTCAGCCCTAAAAATGTGTTCCAAGAAGCTCTCTGGTGATGTCTGTGCTGCAAGACCTCAGTTCACACTTTAGCAAGCTTGAGCTCACTGACTATTTGTGCATAGCCATGTATTCTCCAGCTCAGTTTAGCTTGGAGTTTTTTCAATCAAAAGATGAAGGATATATCTACAAAGCCACTCCCTAACCTAAGGCTCATGGAACATTGTGGAAGAGAGGGAGAAAAGACTGTAGAGTCAGAGGACCACGGAGTTGACTATGTGATCATGTCTCCTAATAAAGTCAGCCAGAAGCTACACCCATAAAATCTCTCCAATATGTCTGCCCAAACATGAGCTGAACAAGGAAGAAAATGATATGTGCAAGTGGGTGGGGAGAGTCCATAGACTCGTCCTACATAAAGCAGGCAACTAAGGAATGCCGAGAGATGGAGAAAGTCTTCCTCAGGAAAGAGCACACACAATTGGTATTCAATACCAAGTAGTCAGCCCTTAAAGCATACGGGTAACATCATACAGACTGAGCACGTTGTATTTACATACTTAGGAATAGTATGTATATACTTATATGCACGTAACAGTTAATGAATATGAGAGAGAGAGAGCCATGAGGGTTTGGGATGACAAAGGGGAAAGTGAAAATGATGTAATTATAATCTCAAAAGATAAAAGTATAGTAATGACAAAGGAAATTTGGGGTCATTTCAGGAGGAAGACGGTAGACAAGCCGAGGCGTAGGGAGGTCAGGCAAGGTGTTCTTGCTGGATACCTACTGTAGGATGGTGGCTGATTCTCTTGGGTTTGACTGGGACGCTTGGAGCTCTCAATGACGGCTTCCTCACAGTCTCGGCAGCATAAACAGAATATCTTCGAGGCCAGGTTTTGGTAGGTTGCTGTAGGATGTAAACGAATGGGGACGATGTATTCTTTGTTCTGAATTCATGGATTTGTTAGAAATTGTCTGTGACTCCCTGTGGTCAGGAAGTTCATGTTGGTTCTTTCTAAGCTGCTGCTGCTAGTGTGTGTGTGAGTGTGTGTGTGTGTGTGTGTACACATGTGTTCATGTGTGTATGTGGAGGCCAGGTGACAACATCAGGTATCTGTGTCAATCATTCCCCACCTCTGCTTTTTGAGATAGGGTCTCTCTGGACCTGGAACTTACCACTTGGACAGAATGGCTAGCTACTCCAGGAACCTCTCTGTCTTTGCATCCCCAGCATTGGGGCTAGAGACACACCTTGCCATGCTCCACTTTTTATGAGGGTTCTGGGGTCCAGACTCAGGTCCTTAAGCTTCCATGGCAAGTGCTTTACTGCCCGAGCCATCCCCCCAACCCAGAAGCCCTTTTTTCTTGTTTTATACAGAATTTCCTTACCCATAGAGAGGAATTGAAGACTTTACTCTGCCAGCTTTGTTTGCAGTGGAATCACTGGTGTTGAATTTGTGCCCAGTTCACCAAGCAGGGCTGTTCCCTAGATGAACAAGACCATAGCTGAAAAGTGCTACTCCTTCATCTGTGTCTGCGCTCCAGCCAGGACCTGCTGCAGCAGAATCCTGCAGGAGCTCCTACTGGAACAGACCACTGGGGAGCAGAATCCTGTAGGAGCAGGCCACTGGGGAGCAGGTTTCAGATAGCTCTGTGGTCTTCCCCGTTTTTAGGGACACATCTTGGATTTTTCTTTAGCCTTCTAGAGCCTCACTCTTACTGCATGGAAAACAGGAATAGTGGTTCCCATTTTACAGAAGCAAAGTGTTAACTATATGCAAGCTGACTCCGTGGTGGTAGGTATACAGGAAGTGATGAGCCCATGGCCATTTCATTCCTCTGATTTCCTCTTCATAACTCATTGCCTCTAAGTTATTCCAACTCCCTGGCCCCACAAGAACATGGTAAGGAAGTGTATAGTCATGTAGGTTTAATTCCTGGTGTGAACATTTGCCATATGGCTTTGGGTAAGTCCCTCAGTGGTAAGAGGAAGTTAATCTGGGTGATTCCTCCAAAAACCTTTCATGTGTCAATGGTACAAGAGTATAAAGTTTTGTTTTAGTTCCAACTCCTTGTATATGTCAACTTTTTAAACCTTTAGATATGTTCCATTCATGTTCTGTGTCAAAAATTCCTTTTAAGGAATTGTTACCATAGTATTGGTTAGGTGTCTGTCATCACAACCAATTTACTTGTTTCTTTTACTAACTGCTGAATTGGTCCTAGCTGCTAACATCTCCTGCATGGGTTATTTCAATAGTCTCCTAACTGGTCTCCCTGTTTCTTTAACCAATAATGATTAATGCAAAGGCTAGGATTCCCATGTTAATATGTATTATGTCTCACTTTTGCTCAGTATCTCTGGTGGTAGAAAGAAATGGATATAGCAGATGAAGAAATATAGTGTTGAAGAAAGAAAAGGTAATCCTGGAATAGTAGAGATTCTAGTTATAAAAAACAGTAATTGGAGCCCAAGAGATGAATCAGTGGGTAAAAGCACTTGTTTCCAAGACCGACAGTCTGAGTTCAGTCCCCAGAAAACCAATGCCCATAAGCTATCCTCTGATCTGTATGTACACATCTGTGTTTACCCGTGTATACACACACACACCCAGCATCTGAAAGAAAAATGTAGAGAATGATCGACAACAAACTTAACAGTAGATGATATAGTGAATCTGAGGGAACAGAAAAGACAATAGAATTTGCACACATAGAAGTAGAGAATGAAAAAATGTTTAAAAGATTGAGGAGAGGCATTGGTCTGGGACATCAAAGGAAACAAGCAGGAACCTGGAACCTCTGCAGGTCTAAACCTGAGTCTGGGAAACCTTTCCAGGTCCAAATCCAACCCACATTTGCCCTGAGGCAAGGAACTCCAACTTGGGCAACAAATTACACAGGGGTGGCTCTGAATGAGCTGCCTAGGACAGAGAAGGCCTGAGGAAACAAGCTCCACTGGGAGCACTAGCCAAGAGCAAATCCAGTCCTGGAAGCCAATCCAGTCCCAAAACACTGGTGGATCAGGATTGAGCCAGCGACCAGATCCAGAGCCAGCAATCTCCACTAGAACAGGTTCAACTCTAAGCCATGGACTTCTGCAGGATGGGGTCCAGACCAGGATTTACAGAAACAGGGCAAAGCCAGCAACGTAGGCTAAAGTAGGCCTGAGACAGCAAACTGCAAGTGAGCAGAGCAAGGCACAGGAGCACTGAGCTATCTCCAGGAACACTGAGTAACCAATGGGGAAACTAGAACTGTGGCACTGACTGTACCATGAGGAACAACCATCTGAGCTTTGGATTCACTGGTACCTAGAAGATTATTCAACAGAATTTCAGACAGCTCCAACCATACCTATGAGAGGAAAGGATGAGGTAGACAAGGTAAGATCACACGCTACACCACAAAGAGCAACACAACACTAATAAAACCTAAAGATCCTACAACAGCAAGACCTGAACAACCAAAAATGGATGAACCAGAAGAAAATGAACTAAAAATAACTTCAAGAGAATGTTTAAAATTCTTAAAGATGAAATGAGAAAGTCCCTTAAAGAAACTGAGGAAAAAATTGGAAGATATCAGCAAATCACTTAAAGAAAATTAAGAAAAAGAAATCAAACATATAAAAGAAACTATTCAGGACTTGAAAACTAAAATAGAAACAAAAAAGAAAACACAAACCAAAGGAATTATAGAAACAGAAATCATGAGAAAAAGATCAGGAACCACAAATGCAAGCATGAACAGCAGAATACAAGAGATGGAAGAGAGAATCTCAAGCACTGAAGATACAATAGAGGAAATAGACTCTCCAGTTAAAGAAAACATCAAATCTAACAAAAGCTTAACCCAAAATATCCAGGAAATATGGGACATCATTAAAAGGCCAAATCTTAGAATAATAGATATAGAAGAAGGAGAAGTTCAACTCAAAGGCATAGAAATTTTATTTAACAAAATCATAGAAGAAAACTTTCCCTACCTAAAGAAAGATATGCCTATGAAGATACAAGAAGGTTACAGAACACCAAATAGACTGGATAAAAAAAAAAGTTCTCTTGCCACATAATAATCAAAACACTAAATATACAGAGTAAAGAGAGAATGGCTATTTCTAGGGTTCACCTTTTTTCTTGTATTCTATAGTTTTTTCATAAAAATATGGCTTGACAATAAAAAATGATGCAGTCTTTACAGACTGAATACAGGCTTCTTAAAAAAGAAGTTAAAAATCTAAGGAAGGACACGACCATCTTAACTAACAATTTTCAGTCAGCTGAGGTACTTTTACACACAACACAGACTGATGCCAAACTCTTCAAGAAAGAGATTACAGTTCTCAAGGAGAATACTGGGTCGTTGTTTAATACAACTCTGTCAACTGAGCTATTTTTGGAAAAGGTACAGTCTAATAGTAATTCATTTAAGGAGAGATAAAGCATGCTGGAGAAGGAAACAGCTGATTTGGCACATAATATTAATTCATTTAGAGAGAGATTCAGCTCTCTGGAGAAGGAAACAGCTGATTTTGACACATAAAATCCAGTCCATGACAGTGGGTGCTGAAACATTATTTGAGAGGATCCATACTATTGAAAGTATTAATCAGACTCTGTCAAAGGAGTATGACAGATTGACTGATAGAATGTCTCTCCAAGAAGGCAATATACATGCCATAAAGATTATGTCCAAGGATGAGATATTATCTCTAATGGACAGACTTCATACCTTAGAATCCTCAATGAGGGCATTAGAGCAGAATACTAGACAGGAGATCCAGACTTTACAGAAGGCAATGGTAAACAGATTTGAAAAGATTGAGAAAATTATCGACTTTGATGACCAGGAGCAAAAGGTAGGAAGCCAAAATTTAACTTCATCAGTGCGTAAAACTCTCTGGGATAGCTTCCCCAGAGTTATACCCACTTTTCCAGTAATAACATAAAAAAAAGTAACTGGCTCCAAATACCCTAAGGTTTTCAAGGAATATACATGGGAGCCCATACATATGAGTGATTTAAAAGAAATTAAACAAGCAGTTGTGACTTATGGACTACATTTGTCCTTTGTTAGAGAGATGGTTCAAACCTGGGCTTTCAGTAACAAAGCCACTCTCATGATTGGGCTCAGTTAATCTCAGCTGTCCTAGAAAGTGGGCCACAATTAGACTGGAGATGCCTTTTTAAAGAGGAAGCAAGAATTGTAGAGCAACAGGGAAGAGTAAAAGGAACTGAGATTTCCCTAGATCAAATTCTAGGTGACAGAGTTTACTCTGATCCTCAGGACCAAGCTCTTTATGATGACCACACCCTGTCTGTATGTGCCACAGCAGCTTTAAAGGCTTGGGACAGGGTTCAAAAACCAGGACAGAGAGTGGAATCATATCCTAGGGTTAAACAAGGCCAGAGAGAACCCTTTAGTGACTTTTTGCAAAAACTAACTAGGGCTGTACAAATAGGGATAACTGATCCAGAAGCTAGACGTATAATAATTAAATATTTATCTTATGAGAATGCCAACATAGAGTGCAAAACGATCCTGGGGCCTTTAAAGATCAGATCAACACCCTTGGATAAATGGGTCTTGCATGCAATAAATGTCAAGACATTTGACTCTGGTACTGAAGCGTGGGTAGGAAAAGTAATTTCCAGTGATAAGAGAAGACATCAAAATATCAAATGTTTTAATTGTGATAACATGGGACATATAAAAAGGGGTTGTAGACAACAGATTTCCAAAAATAATGCCTCTTCTGGGAATAACAGAAGCAGGAGGACTCAGCCTTCAGGTTTATGTAGGAGATGTGACAAAGGCAGACATTGGACCAATGAATGTAGGTCAACAAGAAATAGACAAGACAACCCGATACCATTGGGAAATGTCATGGGGGGCCTCTCTCAGGTCCCCATGACAAATGTGGTCCAGTCATTCCCAGTTACTG